ACCCACGAGTAGTTGAACAAACGTTATTAGATACATAAGTGTTTAAACTTTTAAATATTGTATTTACACTCCAAAAGGTTTTTTGACACTTTAGTCTGAATGGAATTATTATTGTGCAATAATTAAATACCAATAATGAAACACGTTTACGCTGCTAAAACTAGTGATATAACTTTTTCCAATATAGTGACACATCACATACTGAAAGCAAATAACTAAACAACTCGAATATTAGTAGTAAGGAACATAGTCACAACGCGTGTGTATTTAGCAAACAGTGTCGAGGATTTAATGTGGAATGCTAGGGTAACTTCGCATTCAACCATTACCTTTGTGGTGTGTGCTACTTATATAGACATAAGTAGTATATGATGTTAGTCGTGAACAGAATGTCTGGCATCAGAGAGACAAGAGGATCGAACAGTAAAGGATGGAAACAGAATGCAATTTGTATGAAAATGCAGGAGCAATGAATTTTGAGTCATTTTAAGACAATTGATGAACATTATACAAATTAGATTTTAATAACAAGTCTTGTAATTTTGTGTCAAACACATTCGATTGTGACCATCGGTGTTCTCCTCACTACACATTTGCTGCAGAATCTTCCACAAATTGTAAGCCTTTGAAATAGTTAGAAGGTTTAGATATATATTTGATAATCTCATTTAGATTCTACTCCGATTCAAGTCTTTTCTCACTAATTAACGTCTAGTCACTCTCCCAGTGTCTGTTCTAGAATTACTGACAATTACAAGCCCAGATAAAGGAGGAGCGTTGAGAACGGGGTCAGCAACTCTATCTTCTAGATAAAAAACCTAGCTAAAAAACGCTAACTAAAAAAACAATTTAGACCATTTAAACTCTGCTCTGAGAGTTCAAAGATCTTCATTCAGAAGAATTATGACACTCCATGCTAAAAGCCCAGATTCTTCGGATGTTATGAGATCGATTCTCATTAAAGAACCAAAGGAATGATTAACATAGGTAGATGGAATGTCCGGACAATGTGGGCGACCGAGAAGACCAGTCGAATTACCTATGAAATGGGGATACGACTTGCCGGTGCTCGAAATGAGTGAAACCTATTGGACACAAGCTGGGAAAAACGATTAATTCGAGAGAGGTGTTCTTAATCCTGGTCATGAAATGTTTTGATGCGCAAGGTGCTGCACTGATGCTATCCAAAGAAACACGAAAAGCAACAATAGAATAGGAATCTCATGGATCCAGAATCATCGAGATATTCTTCAAAACAATGAATGTGGGGATAATGATGAATGACATCCAGTGCTATGCAGCCACGAATGATAGCAATGAAGATTACGAAGATCGGTTTTATGAGAGACGGCTGTTATTCGTAGAGAAGTGAACAGGGAAGGACCTGACTATCATAATCGGAGACCTAAACGCAAAGTTGGGATGGACGACACTGGGTATGAAGATATCATGAGACGACATGGACCGACTGGGAGGAAGGAACGTGCGTGGTGAGAGCTTGCAAATTTATGTGCTTCCAACTAAATGGTTATAGGTGGCACAATATTACCACACAAAGCTACATGGGTCCCATCGGATCATGCAATAGAGAATCAGATCGATCATATTTGCATCACTAATATATTCAGAAGATCCATAGAGGACAGCTGACATAGCTTAGGAACACCACCTGGTTATGGCAACTGTGAAACTGAAGCTAAAGAAACATTGAACAACTGGAGAAACAGCACAACAAAAGCTTAATACAGCCTCATTTAGACATATTGATAACTCAAATCAGCACTAACGTCAATAATCAGAAATACGTGGAAGACTCAGCAGTGATAGCGGAAAAAGCTAAATGAGAAAGAAATATGAGACAGCTATATGACACAATGAAGAAACTATCAGGAAAATATTGTAATTCAGAGCGACCAGTCAAGGACAAAGGAGGCAAGCCAAACAGTTTAATTTAAAAACAGAGGAACGATTGGGTAGAACACTTTGAGAAATGTTTGAATAGACCAGCTACATTGAATCCACCGGATATCGAAGCAGCACACATAGGCCTCATAGATGTCACCTCACCAACGTTGGAAGAAATCAACACGATTATCAGACAAATCAAGAGCGGGAAAGCTGCTGGACCCGACAACATACCAGCTAAAACACTGACGTCAGACATAGTAAAAATGCTTCACGTCCTATTCAGGAAGATTCGGGAGGAGGAACAAGTGTGGACAGACTAGAGAGAAGGATATCTCATGAAGATACCAAAAAAAGGAGGGTTGCTAAAGCAACAATAGCATTCCCACAAGTGAAGAACACATAGAACTAAAATCAACTGCCTGCAAGCCAACATCAAACTCACAATTATCAATACGAACGTCAAGATAGTTCTACTATACGGAGCTAGAACTTGGAAAACTACCAAAACCATCATCAAAAATGGACAAGTATTTATAACCAATTGTCCACGCAAGATACTCAATGTCCGTTGACTGGATACCATCAGCGACAGCCTATTGTAGAAGAGAACAAACCAGCTTCGAGTTGAAGAAGAAATTAGGAAGAGACGTTGGAAGTGGATAGGACATACATTGTGGAAATGATTAAACAGCATCACGAAGCAAGTGCTAACTTGGAATCGTGAAGGGAAATGTAAAAGAGGAAGGCCAATGAATAAACTGAAGTAGGGACTGGAAGCGGATATGAAAAGGATGAATAGCAACTGGGCAGGATTGACCAGGACATGGTTGGATGAAGAGTACTGGTGGGCGGCCTATGCTGCTCGACGAGGGGTAACAGGCGTAACTAAGTGATTATTGTAAACTAACATTTTTATTAAAGAAAATTCTTGAGGGCAGAATTAAGGAAAATTTCTTTTCTGAAGAGTAATACTCCTATATACAAATTTATTGAAAATGTTTGTTTAGACGAGGTGTTCACTTTTTCTCTTTTGACAAACAAATTGCTTATTTGTTCATGTTAGTACATTAAAAATTTGAATAAATAGTGCCAGGGAGTGTTAGTTTAATTGTTAAAGCAACTGATTTATATTTACTGTCACAGTCTGAATAAAAACAATTTAAATCTGAACAGTATACCATTATCATTAACTATTGTATAACTTCAAAATCGGGAGATCAACAATTAATAATTCTTGTGAAGTAACAGCGAAGCAAGTGTAATACATAATATTATATATTAAACGTAAAGTTACCACGTACTTTTTCATCATACGTAATGGTTTTTAAGAAATAAACCTACAAATTGTCTGAATTTTCTTTATAATTTTGAGTTACTAGTTGCATAGTAGTGAGTAGTCAGCTTATTCAAACTCTGAATGACTAAAATTACGAACAAGATGTAAATTCTGAAAAATCTCGAATATATTGATGAAATAAATGTTTGCTAACGATGTAGAATTTTTTGACCATAGACGGATCGTAATTTACCTAATCATTATACTCCTGAAAATATACTCAATATTTACTTCAGTCAAACACAGAAGACATTTAGGTAGAAGTATAATATACTGACGATCTTGTACATAACAATCAATAAGGAAACACAGTCTTATTATGAAACAAGTAACAATTTAAAAAATGAAATAACAACTTTCATCGTCAAATTAGCCCTTATTGTAAAGAGACAAAGGCACGTTTACATACATACATGCATATTGAGTCGGGCTAGTGTTTTGAGTTAAGTTTATAACCCCATAGTTTTCATCACCAAGTGACATTATTTATAACGCTAAAGGTAGGGGTTAAGCATTAAGAGTTCAACTGGAGTTTTGAGTTAGTCTTGCAAATTAAAGTCAAAGTTTTCAACACGAACTAACATCAGCAATAATGCAGTGCCTTGCTATCTTCACATTTACAAACCTCTGATACTCAGAGTAAGAGTAAGACAGGGAGAATACTATTTTGCTTCACTAAACACTTGATTACGCAATGGATGATAATAGATGTTTTAATTCAAAATACTCTTAAGAAGCAAGTATGTTATGTAATTGAGCCTTAGCACCATCTAAAATTGACTTTCTGGTTGCATCGCAGATATTTTTATTGATCTCAAACATTTCAAGAACCAAACTGCCAATTATTTCTTGGTTGATAATGTCAGATATGCTATCTATCACTGCACTTTAAACTTCGCGCAAAATACATGAGGCGTTATCTTAATTATGACTGGTTAACTCAAGGCTGCCAGTATATTATACTTTTACTGATATTAATGTAGATAATCCATGCAAAGTTGGACACTAATCAAATTTTACACTCGCAAAATATTACTCAGCTGCTCCACCAATTAATGATGTTGAAGCAAAACAGTAAACATAAATATAATATGAAAGAGTCGGATAAAAATTTAATTAGATCGCAGGTAATATGAGATAAAATATTTTTAAGGGGAGGGCATAGGAAATAATAGTTACAATACGAATTATTTATTGATACATAACAAAAAGAAATTTAACTTGTAGTGATGAATATGATGAGACGAGAAAAAATAACAATGAATTATCATAACTACATGATTGTAAAATAATGCTTATAACATTAATACTAGCAATATGAAAACCACTGGAAAATTTCAGTGAGAAAAAGAATGTTATTTGTTTTGAATAAAGAGTAGTCTGTAATACTGCTGCTAATTTAATTTTAAACGCTTAACAAAATAATGTTAAGCAATAATAATAGTAATAATAACAATAAGAATTAACGCAAATTTACTTAAATATGCAAAAATTTTAAGGGTACGAACGAGAATATTCACTTGATGAATATTATAGAACAATGCATGATCACAGTAGGGCTATTGCACCTAAGGAAAAAAAGGAAACCAAACAGTAGACGACTCTTGATAAACAAAGATTAGCCTAATGAAAAAAAAGAAAAAGCAACCACATTATTGTATCGATTTTATCGACAAACTAACGAATAAGAAAATTAATTCATTTACATAATTATATACAGAAAGTAACAATATTGATATTATTTGTTTATATGTTATCATAAATTATTTATATCTGATGTATCAACAGCTGTAACATCTGATCCTATGAGGTAATGATTCATTTGTTCTGGTTTCGGTGTCATTTGTGAAGTTTGCGGTTGTCCTTCTATTTTGACTCTTGTTAAATCAGGTCGAACAGCATTTAAACATTCCCAGCTAATATCCAACGATGATCGACGTCCACGCATCCATGCTACATATTCTTCTAATTTATCATTGCCAATAGCAGTTGTTGCATTATCTAAAAGAAATAAATCATAATAGAAGATTGGTTAGAAAAGAAATATGATCAAATAATGTTAAATATACTGGAGGATATTAAAAAACCTAGTAGTTTGAGTTACATCGAATAGAAGTGTTCAGTTTGTCCAGAAATTACTAATGATTTTTATTTGCTTAGATTTTTGTACAGTTGTTTCTCTGGTTTTGAAAACAGCTATTAATTATCAGTACTATTATGATAACTATGATGTGAAAATGCAGTAACACCTTAGAAGCCGTAAAGATGACACGCAATGAAGTTATCTTTAGTTTAACCAAATATCTATACTAATTGGGATGAAGGATAAAAGCTGTTATGTGCTCTGTTGCTACAACCCAGCTACGATTATTGCTTAGTATTCTTTGGACACTGCTTCACTCGACGAGTCCCCAAGCAAGAACACGGTTGAACAGGAACGTAATTATGTTCCAAATAGACAAGATTGAATGGAAGTAGGAATCACAATAAGAAAAACATTCATAATTTTGCACAAGATTCTTGAGTCTCCTCTAAGTATCTGCCAGTGCTGATTGGCTAAGAAATGGTCAATCAGTGTGCCCCAGTATGGAACATGTTTTAATCCTATTTATATCACGCTAACAAACGCATAGTACGAAAGTAGATTATTACATTTGTATACATAAAGATACAAACGTCACTAGACCAAGCACAGACATCTTAGTACTTCATAGCAAAGAATTTAAAAAAAATGCTTTCTGATGTGATATTGTTTTAGACTTCAGTTAATCAACTCAGAGCTGTTGAAAATTTTTTAGATACTTATGATGATAACTAAGTATAAGCCAAGTATGACAAAGGAGAATTAGAACAGAGCATAGAACAACTAAAATATTTGACCTACCGACTTAACCATGTACAAGCCAACCTTCAAGAAAATAACAACATTCAGCAGTAACTAGGACGATGAATACAATACAGATTTTACTGCGCGCAAACACAGCATTATGTTTATCGAGATACTTATATATGATCTATCTCATTTTAATCAGAAATTTATTGCCATTTGAATATATATCAATAAAAACAGTAACAAACAACTGAACCTACCATGATGGACAGAGTTCACATGACGATAAAAATCCCAACGACGAACAAAACCCTTATGACATACATTACATTCATATGGCTTTTTATCTAAAATTGCAAAGGACAATGTTACCATTAATAGTACCATTTTAACAACGATAATAGAGAAAGCTGTTTGGCAAAAACCTGTTGTTCTTTTAAACGTGACAATACAAAAATGGTATATAAAGATATTTCGTTGGATTCCATATTTATTTGTTTGCTCGACTGCTCTTTCTATATACATTATTACTCTGCTACATGATTATTTATTTTATTTTAACGAATTTTGTATTACTACTTGCATTTTATCCTGTGCAATAAACTGGCATGTTGCAAGTTTTGGTTAGAGTGAATATATTTGCTTTTTAAAAGTTATCGCTTACGTGGATCTTTAATGTAGAGGTCATTAGTTCACCTCGTAATTTAGGAATATCTAAGAAAGATTCCCCTGATTAGTAGTAAACGGATTTCCAATCTGTCAACTCAAGTACATTTTAAGTACGCTTATGATAAACCATAATGAGATCAGTAATCCGATTAAAAGTGTACTTGGTATTAGTTCGTTGTGCTAATATACAGATGATGTATAGAAAGATTACAAGTTATACTATGATCTTTAACGTACGAGAGAGTAGTAGTGGATTGTAACCTAACGCAATCACTTTGTACAGGTGGATCTTATAATGAACCGAAAATGGCAATTTGAACTAGCTTTAAAACGCTTAAGGTACATAATTAGGATTTTTAAGAACTTAATTAAATTACAACTAAAACTCGGTATACTGAGCTGTAAGACATATTTATTCTATGTAAACATGTAAACTGGATTAAAATATCGAACTGTACGAATCAAACCAATAAATAACTGATCAAGTCAAGTGACTACATCACCATGTGAAAATCGTGTTGTTTTAGTCTGTGTAGAACCCATCAAAATAGTTCTTTTTTAAGTAACAAATAAAAGAACAGTATATAAAGATATTGATAGTTAAATAAGCCTAAAATGCAATAAACTTTACGATCAAGTCATGACATTATCGTGAACGATACAAATATTTGTGACAAGAAACAGTGCGATATACATGAAGAACAACTTACGAGGGAATAAAGACGGTAATTAAGTTTTACGTTACAACTACTTACCTGTATGTACTTGTATTATATGAGCTTGCAAACTTTGACGTCGAGGATACACTTTGGAGCAAGTTGCACATTGATATTCTTTTGATGGTCTAGAAGGCGACGGAGTTGAAGGAGCTGTATGCAACGGAATAAAATTCGGTAGTAAATATGATTTTAAATAATCTAGGTAGTAGGTTAGTGACTAGAATACACTGAGAATAGTATTAAGTTGTATGATCAACATACTACCCAATATATATGCGTATATACATTGGTTAATCAAACCATTTCTATATTTACTGGGGAAAACATTACAAATGAATGTTTCGAACCGTCATTTATTTTGAACGTATATACTACAGCGTCAGAATTAAATGCTCTTAAACATATTGAAAAATGACAAGAAATTTCTTAAGATAAATTAAATCAAGAACAAACTCTAAGCACACTAGTTCATGGTTAAGTTAAGCAACTTCGATGCGATACTATCTTTAATAAAAAATCGAATATGGATGGAGAGATAAAAAATTTCAAGAGAACAAATGATCCCCATAGCAAATCATTGAGATCAAATGAATAATTCTGAATTCAGGTAAAACTGAAAAACAAAAATCCTATTCAGCAAACTTGGCATAATTATACTGTGCTCGACAGATGTAAGCCAATATATTCTTACTCAATTTGTTATCGTAGTGAATTATCACTGAAATGAGAACATTGATTTCTATCATTCATTAAATTTAATAAAAAAATTCATGAAGTTATGAAAAAGGACTGAATCAATTGACTCAAATATAAATATGTAAGATAAATTTATGAGCAAAACAAAAATTACCAGTAACAGCTATTTGTGCTGAATTAAAAGTTATTGGTTTCACAGGCAAATGACTAACACCAAAAGGAGAAGTGATGAATGTTGCTGAGGTTGTAGCACAATTGGAACGAAATAGTGAATTAGTACTTGTCGGGAGAACTGCTGTGTGTGGATTCATAGTAATAGTATTTGCGAATGGAGTAGCTTGTTGTGGTTGAAAGAAAAATGCTGGCATAGGCATATTTACTCCAGGAGCAACCATCATTACCTGTGTACCAGAAGGCATTGCATTCTGAACAGAGCCAGGTGTAGCAATTATAGTGCCCATAGCTAAAATCAAAATAATAATGAACAATTAATTTTTTATTTTAAGCGATATTAATAACTAAAACATAAATTTATGAGTAAAAAATTAAGGTTTTTCAGATTAATTTAAGATATGACAACGGTACAAGTAATTTCTTAAAAATTTTAAAACGAATAATTCATTTGTTAAACTAAATCCTTTATTTTATACAAGAAAATAATATAGAAGTGATAATAATGATCTTGTCAAATTACCTTACAGTATACTGATCAAACTAATAATTCAAAATTATTGCTGGACACATCAATAATAAGTAGAAATGTTTAGTTGTATCATTTTCTGATTTTTTTAAGAAACTTAAATAAAACAACATCAAAGATCCATTAAATCTATTTAATCTTTAAAATTAATCTTAAGATTTTTCTGTATTAACATACTTAACACTGATGATTAAATAAAAATTGAATACAAAAATCTTGTAATAATACGAAAAGGCATCTAAGTGATCAGTAGCATAAATAGTTGAACTAATTAGAATAAAAATAAAACATGAACAACAAAAAAAGTTGTATGGCAGTGAAAGTTGATTTACCAGTCCTTGAGTTAAGATATATAAATAAAATTGAATTATGAAACCGAGGCTTTGAAAAAATTGAAAAAGTTGGAAACAACTTATTTGTATAAAAAACAGGAAAAAAAACCAAACATATGAAATCCAATGTAATAATTAACTTAACCAGTTAATATATGCTAATGAACAAACTTACGTAAGTTGACTTGTTGAGAATGAGGTTGAGTTTGAAGGACTGTCAGTTGTTGTTGTTGCTGTTGTTCCTGCTGATGATGAATTAATTGATGTTGCTGTTGTTGTTGTTCCTGTTGTTGTTGCTGTAACATTTCTTGTATTTGCTGTTGTTCTTGTTGAGTTTGTAAAGTTTGATGCTGTTGTTGGGTTTGTTGTCGTGGCACCATAAAAGATATTGGAAATGGAGTCTCTATGATAACAGTTGAAATGGTAAATAAATAAAAAGTTAAAGTTAATTTAAAGAACGAAACAAAGCAATAACTAAACTCTATGGACTAGAATTTGATATATATATATATATATATATATATATATATATATATATATATATATATATATATATATATATATATATATATATATATATATATATATATATAACCAGATGATCTACGAATGGAGAATTAATCAATAAGTCGTATCAAACTATATAATTCAAAGGTAGTTGATTGAAAAGCAAAAACAACTGATTGCAAATAATATTTCCAAAGATAAAAAGAAGCATGGAAATACTTCCCAAATTTCTCATTTCGATGTAAACAGTCTAATGACATTGAAAAGCTGAAAGAAGATTAACCATATATAGTGCTTACGTAGTTTTCATGTTAAGTACATTATACAAAACGTCTCTAAATAAATAAAAAAATTCGGATGGCGGATCGATGACGTGTAAGGATAAAAAGAACTATGTACTGAAATAAAGGTCAATATATCTACTATTTTCACAACAATAAATTGTCGTTCAGAAATGGACAATAACGAATAACTATTTCCACATTTAGATGAATAAGGCCAGGAAACCTTAGATTTATTCATTGTAAAACGTCTGGGCATAAAGCATATTACGTGTAACCCACTTTAACATAAGCTATTATTACTAACGTTGTTAGAGCTATTTATTACAAAATAAACTGACACGTATCAACTAATGATTGAAATTTATTTATTACTGGCACTTCAGAAAGTGTATGGGTGAATAACCGGATATTGTGAAGAAATTAGAAAAGAATACTTAACGTACAACTGACAAAATTAGTAGACAGAAAATTTTGTCAGATAACCAGCCTAACACCGAAAGATAATTACGAAATACACGCGAGTTAACTATGTACATTAAGTTACACTTACTTTTATGGACAGAAGCCACATGACGTTCAAAATACCATTTCTGTGGAAACCCTTTATTACATAACGGGCACATGTAAGGTTTGGAATCTATAGCACACAAATAGATAAAATCCAATGATATACAAAGAAAAGAAACTAATAATAAAAAACGTATCGTACAGATAAACATTTGATAATGTTGATTAAAAATGGGCTGACATATAACCAACGATGTCCACAGCTTTACTAGTAAAATTATCATTGATGAAAAGACAGTGGTATCTTTATAAGAGGTTTATTTATGGGAATGACATTTATTAATAAATTTGCTTTAGCATCAATCTTTCCACTGTGATACGTTAAATGCAACTTGACAAAGTATTTCATTACCAATCTTGACACAATCCTTTAAAAATAATTTGCAAACGACTGATAAACACGTGTACAAGTATAACGTTAGAAAGTGAACTGAATGAACACACGTTTTGTTTTGACACTTTCATTTAGGTACTTCCCACACTGTAGTGAATGTTGTAAATATAAGAACCCAAAAGACCGAAGACAAGGAGTGTGCAGAATATGACTTAATTATACAGTATATTCGAAATGACAATAACAATTAATCATCTACATTTTTAAACCTGAACCCCAAATCTGATACCTTTATTCCAATCATCCTGTCAACTCATGTATTTGTCAGTGTCTCTAGATAAAATGTCAAATATAAAAAATTTTCATTGTGATTATGGTCAATACGCTGGTTCACAGAGTGGTACACCACTTTGTTTAAATGAATTTATGATCTATATAAGATGACAGAAGAGTAATAGTAACTTTTGGTAGTAAATGGTATTGTAAAATTAAGGCTTATAAATCATCATATTGATAATCATAATAAGCTTTATCTGAAAGGTTATAATAATAAACGTTATAACAAACCGTTGCAGAATGCAAATGAACCTTGCGGCAATTAACTTACCACGATGAACTGAATTTGAATGTCTTAACAAATCGCACTTCCGAGCAAACTCTTTGAGACAATCATCACATTGATGGGGTCGTAGACCTAACAAATAAAAATAACTCCATAATCACAGTAAAACAGATTTCGGTGATAAAAAAAGAGTTAGCATTTCATAATGCAGCGAAGACCTTAATGTTTAGTAACTCAGCTGGATTATCATATCGCAAAACTCATCGAAAAAATCCAACAGTATTAAGAACTTTATTAGGTTGCAACATACTCAAAAGAGTAAGTCAATAATAATGTCACCCCTTAAAAACTTCAACTTGTACTGAAAGTGAGTTACATTGAAATGACATTGGAATTCCTCTAAATATATACATCCGTGTCTGGCGTGAGGAAGTTACTCACCGAAAACAACGGGAGATGGTCGCCCAACATAGTGAATTGGTTAAAGTTTGACAATGATACGATTGGATCCCGCTGCAGAGCGAGACCGAAGCTCCTGGGGTTCGAATCCCGTGTGGGGTTGTGGATCTGCAATAATGAGTATCATATTAGGGACAGACGGGCACCAAATGCTTCTAGGTTTTCAGTGATGGACTAATTTAGAACGTTTTATGATGAGTGGAATCCTTTACATCTATTCAGTAAAATAAAACATAATGCCGCAATGTAATACGTGCTTCAAACTAGATTAGAGATGATTACAAGTCAACTGAAACGTCAAGCTCTAGTCCCTGCAAGATGAAAATCTGACAGTGACGCTTCCCTATCTAAAGGCAGCAAATGTAACATTTTAGTCAGACATCTTCGATAAAATTCCAAGAAACTGATATCCACAACTAAAAACATAGAAATGAGTGGTAAAAAGGAAAGAAACTTGACAAGCTGCAATAGAAGATGATAGTACTAATTTTTATTTAAGATTTTCCATAGTATGATTTGAGAAGAATAAACTAAATTTGATGTTTTTTTTTACGGAAAACGGAGAACCACTTGACAAAACATAGTGCTGAAACATTTAAAGTAAAAGTTTTCAAAACCCACCTTTATGCAATGCATTTATATGCATCTGAAGATTCTTTTTTTCTGTAAACTGTTTTTGACATAGATTACAATGGAAATCTTTTTTCTCTATAAAGAAAAATATAAAAGTATGCAAATATATCTTAAAACAATTTAAAAAAAGATCTATAATTTTAATGGTTTTATCATTCGGAAATAAAGAAATTTTAACCAAGTAAAAAATGATTTCTTGATTTTCGCTAGTAAATAGCCTTTTTGAGTTATCATAAACTATTGAAGTGAGAAATACTTTGAGAAACATTAGGAGATAAAAAGTTGACTTGGTTATAATTAATCAATTAAATAATTATGTATTCTACGGACTAATTTGAAAAATAAGTACGAGATAGATTATCTTATAATTATTGTAGTTCATTATTAGGTAGGAAAACCGCTGCAAAACATCATCAAACGCATCAAGTTCATAATCATTTTGTATAGACTTTGAATAATCTACCTATATGAATAAGACCAAAGTTAAACTAATAAACATGAAGAGGATATTTGTAACTCACCTGCATGAACCGATTTCATATGCCTGCGCATCACAGATCGTTTAGAAAAAGCTTTTTGACATATAGTGCACGTCACATCACGAATATCTAACAAAGTAGAAAATCATAAAAACAATGAGACTTAAAACTGAAAGTTAGTGGTTAAGAAAATTTGAACTAATCGAAAATCTAAAAGATAAAAGGTATTATTAGATTTACAACTCGATTCAGAAAATAAGTATTACGTTAGGGAAAACGTCTATCGAATGTGAGTAGAAAGATAAGGATATGGATACTAGAGTAAATGAAGTATTGTTTTACTACGAAGTAGGGGAAGACACTGGGGTAAATGTATTAAATGAGAAAGATATTAGTTCAACAATCTCAGTCATATCAGTATTTGAGGAATAGAGTGGGTCAGCAAAACAGAACTAAACGAATAATCAGATAACCAACAAGGTAAACACCCAAGTCTCTGAAAAAGTAAAATAAAAAGAACAATGCTTATTAAATGAGTGTGGCCAAGAGGTTAATAAAGAGGTAAACACTTTGGAACCTTATAAGACGGTAAAACAGTAGCTCGAATAAAATTTTAAAAAACATAATTCCAACCACTAATATTTGAGTAGTTTAATGTGCAACTATGCAAAATATCTAGGCCCTCAGTAACTGCTTAACTCCTCCTGGAGTCCCTTTCGGGGGGCTACTGCCGGTCCCAAGCCCGAGTAAAGGAGGAGGGTTGGGCATGGGATTAGCGACCCCATCCCGTAGAAAACTAACTCGCTAAAAAAACGCTAGCCAGAAAAAATAACTCAAACAATTTAAACTCTACCCTGGGAGTTAGAAGGTCTTCATTTAGAAGAACTATGACGCCTCATGGTGAAATCCGAGTTCCTTCGGAAGCCATAAGGCCGAAGCCCCTTCTGAAAACCAGAGCAACCATTTATTTAGGTACATGGAATGCTCGCACAATGTGGGAGACTGGGAGAGTTTTTCAAATTGCTGCAGAAATGAGGAGATACAACTTAGAGGTGTTTGGGATCAGTGAAACACATTGGACGCAAGTTGGACAACAACGACTAGCTTCAGGGGAGCTGCTGTTATACTCCGGACATGAACAAGAAAATGCCCCAATACACAAGGAGTTGCATTGATGCTGTCCAAACAAGCACAAAATGCACTTATAGGATGGGAATCTCACAGATCCAGAATCATCAAAGCCTCCTTCAAAACAAAGAAAACGGGGATTACAATGAACGTCATCCAATACTACGCGCCTACCAACGACTACAATGAAGACGCTCAAGATCAATTCTACGATAGGCTATAGTCAATCGTCGAGAAGGGCCCAACAAAGGACCTTATCATTCTGATGGGAGACCTAAATGCCAAGGTTGGAATTGACAACACCGGATATGAAGAGATCATGGGACGACACGGACTGGGAGAAAGGAACGAAAATGGTGAGAGATTTGCAAATCTATGTGCCTTCAATAAACTGGTCATAGGCGGGACTATATTCCCACATAAACGCATACACAAAACCACATGGACTTCACCGGATCACAGCACACAGAACCAAATCGACCATATCTGCATCAACAAAAAGTTCAGGAGGACGATGGAGGACGTGAGAACAAAGAGAGGAGCTGATATAGCATCAGATCATCACTTGCTGGTCGCCAAGATGAAATTGAAACTCAAGAGGCACTGGACAACGGGGAGGACAATATCACAAAAATTTAATACGGCTCTTCTTCGGGATAATGACAAACTCAATAAATTCAAGATAACCCTCAGCAATAAGTTCCAAGCCTTTCATGATCTACTCAATGGAGAAGGAACTACTATGGAGAGCAACTGGAAAGAGATAAAAGAGGCAATCACTTCAACATGTCATGAGGTTCTGGGCCAAAAGAAGCACCATCACAAGGATTGGATCACGGTCGATACACTGGATAAGATTCAAGAAAGGAGTAAAAAGAAAGCAGCAATCAATACCAGTCGAACAACAGCAGAAAAAGTCAAGGCACAGGCTGAATACACAGAAGTAAACAAGCAAGTGAAAAGGAGCATCAGAACTGACAAACGTAAATATGTCGAAGATTTGGCATTGACGGCGGAAAAGGCTGCGAGAGAAGGAAACATGAGACAACTGTATGACACAACAAAGAAACTCTCTGGAAATCAACGTAAACCAGAACGACCAGTGAAAAGCAAGGAAGGCAAGATAATCACCAACATTGAAGAACAACGAAACAGGTGGGTAGAACACTTCAAAGAACTCTTGAATCGACCAGCCCCACTGAACCCACCCAACATCGAAGCAGCACTCACGGACCTCCCAATTGATGTTGGCCCACCAACAATTGAAGAAATCAGCATGGCTATCAGACAAATCAAGAGTGGCAAAGCAGCAGGACTAGACAGCATTCCAGCAGAGGCACTGAAAGCAGACGTAGGGGCAACTGCAAGGATACTCCAAACTCTCTTCGGAAAGATCTGAGATGAGGAAGAGGTACCACTGTATCCCGTGGATACAGTGGACATCTAGGATGCAATTGGATGGTCTAGACTGCGCAGATGACCTGGCTCTTCTACCGCATACGCAACAACAAATGCAGGAGAAGACAACCAGTGTAGCTACAGCCTCAGCAGCAATAGGTCTCAATATACACAAACGGAAAAGCAAGATTCTCCGATACAACACAGCATGCAACAATCCAATCGCAATTGACGGAGAAGCTTTGGAAGATGCAAAAACCTTTATATATTTGGGCAGTATCATCGATGAACACAGTGGATCTGATACAGATGTGAAGGCACGAATTGGCAAAGCAAGAAAAGCATATTTACAACTGAAGAATATCTGGAATTCAAAACAATTGACAACCAACACCAAAGTCAGAATTTTCAATACAAATGTCAAGACAGTTCTACTGTATGGGGCGGAAACCTGGAAAACTACGAAATCCATCGTCCAAAAGATACAGGTGTTTATTAACAGTTGTCTACGCAAAATACTTCAGATCCGCTGGCCGGACACCATAAGCAACAACCTACTGTGGGAGAAAACAAATCAGATCCCAGTGGAGGAAGAAATCAGGAAGAAGCGCTGGAAGTGGATAGGACACACATCGAGGAAAGCACCCAACTGCGTCACAAGACAAGCCCTCACATGGAATCCTCAAGGTCGAAGGAGGAGAGGAAGACCAAAGAACACATTACGCCGAGAAATGGAGATAGATATGAGAAAAATGAACAAGAATTGGATGGAACTAGAAAAGAAGGCCTAGGACAGAGTGGGTTGGAGAATGCTGGTGGGCGGCCTATGCTCCATTGGGAGTAACAGGCGTAAGTAATTACGTAAGTCAGTAACTGCTTGTACATCACACTACATACTCGGTTCAAAATAGTTGAGTGGAAATCAAAATACAACTTTATATAGAGAAACCTAAATCATACATTAATAATCTATCTATACGCCTATCAGTATTACTAACAGTGAATAACTACCACAAGCGTAACTTGCACACAGACACCTGGGAAAACTAAAACGTTTAGATCTTGTGAACAATATTTATTTTGGAACATCTCATTCTATAAATGGAACAGGTTTACGTCGGTCGATATCAAACGAATCCTCATAGGTACGACACTACTTTTCGATTAGTCATTTATTCCGTACTAATATAAAGCTTGGACTTAGGATGATAATATTTATGAGAATACTTAGGAGTTATACGTTACTATTCTACCTTCACTATTTATACGGAATTGTGGAACAAACTGGCTGAGATTTTCCACGTTTTCAATGTTTACCGTATTGTATCCAGCACTTGTAGACATTTTCCCACACATTTAATGAGTGTTGCATATTATTGTAATTCCCAACAGAAACTTTATTTTAAGCCCTAACTTTTACCATCTGTATATCTTTCATCCTGAATTTTAGGCTGTGCTACGCTGAAATATTTATAGGACATCGTTGTATTTATTTATTTATTTATTTTAACACATAAGTATAGGTACAGGGAGGCACCAAATACATATGCGCCACACAAATCTCAATTGATTTGTGTGAGGGCTGTGATACTGCTCGGGTGCCCAAACCGAAGCAGGTGGTTTTCTTAGGGGGCCACACCCCGAGCCTTCGACCTGAACGTCTGACCCACAAGGCAGTGGAGCATCGTGAGGAGATGCAGTCCCATGGTAGCCGGTGACCAACGATTGGTTCATACGCCATTTGTTCCCGCAGGATACTGGGACCCATGTGCACCATTGGTTTGGGATCCGGTTAAAGCGCCGGACATTCGCTTTTCGTCCTCTCATTTTTGTAAACAACACCCCCGCCACGAGAAGGCAGTGAGTAGGACTTCCCTGGCAGAGGCTATATACGCATGGCCATGTGAGAGCATTTCGATACGGACAACTTGAATCACTTGAAATAAAATCTCTTATGAAAATTACACTTTAGTATCCAGCACTCTTCTACTAAATAAACAAAAAAATGGATAGAATATATTCAGTGAAGACTGAAACCATTGCAGATACTCTCAGCCGAAAAATTCGCTATATAATAAATTAATAATTCTTTGCAAGTAGACTTGTACATTTTATGAATTTCACTAATTAATATACTGTAAAAAAAGTTGGCTTTTTATGTGCTACAATAAATTCGAGATTATCCAAAAACTTCCATTCATTCGACAAGTGCTAGTTTTGATGAAATTCAAAAGATGAGCAATTATCTATTTTATTGGCGAACTTATTTTTAAGATGCTAAAAATAAGGATTAGAGAAATAGAAAATGCTTAACCTACAAATTTTGTCTATAAAAAACTTTCAGAAAACTCCACCGAGTGTAAAATAGGATTTTAAAAAATTAGAAGGTAAAGTATACAGAAAAACAAAAACAGGTGTCAAATTCAGTCTGACTACATGACGCAAACGATTTATTGAAAACGGACACCGTATATATAACCATAAATAGGTGAAATTACTATACAACCCTTTGATTGAACTTTTCCATGTTCCCTTCCCGACAACTCTTAAGCTAGATCTCAACAATTAAGATAAAGGTTTATCCCTTGCTTAAACCGAAGATT